TCCTGATAACATGTCCAAAGTACATGAGACCAAGTCTCACCATCCTTGCTTCTAAGGAGCATTCTGGCTGTACTTCTTCCAAGACAGATTTGTTCATTCTTCTGGCAGTCCATGCTATATTCAATATTCTTCGCCAATACCATAATACAAAGATGTCAGTTCTTCTTTGGTCTTCCTTATTCATTGTCCAGCTTTCACAAGCATATGAGGTGATTGAGAACACCATGGCTTGGGTCAGGCGCACCTTAGTCTTCAAGGTAACATCTTTGCTTTTTAACACTTTAAAGAGTTCTTTTGCAGCAGATTTGCCCAATGCAATGCAGTTTGATTTCTTGACGGCTGCTTCCATGGGTGTTGATCGTGGATCCGAGTAAGATGAAATCCTTGACAACTTCAGTTTTTTCTCCATTTATCATGATGTTGCTTATTGGTCCAGTTGTCAGGATTTTCATTTTCTTTATGTTGAGGTGTAATCCATACTGGAGGCTGTGGTCTTTGATCTTCGTCAGTAAGTGCTTCAAGTCCTCTTCACTTTCAGCAAGCAAGGTTGTGTCATCTGCATAATGTAGGTTGTTAATGAGACTTCCTCCAATCCTGATGCCCCGTTCTTCTTCATATAGTCCAGCTTCTCGAATTATTTGCTCAACATACAGGTTGAATAAGTATGGTGAGAGGATACCACTCCAACACACACCTTTCCTGATTTTAAACTATGCAGTATCTCCGTGTTCTGTTTAAATGACTGCCTCTTGGTCTGCATACAGGTTCCTCATGAGCACAATTAAGTGTTCTGGAATTCCTATTCTTCGAAATGTTATCCATAATTTGTTATGATCCATAAAGTTGAATGCCTTTGCATAGTCAATAAAATAGAGGTAAACATCTTTCTGGTATTCTCTGCTTCAGCCAAGATCCATATGACATCAACAATGATATCCCTCGTTCCACGTCCTCTTCTGAATCCAGTTTGAACTTCTGGCAGTTCCCTGTTGATGTACTGCTGCAACCACTTTTGAATTATCTTCAGCAGAATTTTCCTCGCATGTGATATTAATGATATTTGATAATTTCCACATTCTGTTGGATCACCTTTCTTTGAAATGGGTACAAATATGGATCTCTTCCAGTCAGTTGGCCAGGTAGCTGTCTTCCAAATTTCTTGGCATAGATGAGTGGGCACCTCCAGCACTGCATCTGTTTGTTGAAACATCTCAGTTCGTATTCCATCAATTCCTGGAGCCTTGTTTTTTGCCAATGTCTTTAGTGCAGCTTGGACTTCTTCCTTCAATACCATCAGTTCTTGATCACATGCTACCTCCTGAAATGACTGAATGTTGACCAATTCTTTTGGTACAATGACTCTGTGTATTCCTGCCATCTTTTTTGATGTCTCCATGTCATCCAGTTTCTTGCTTATAGAATCCTTTAGTATTGCTACTTGAGGCTTGAATTTTTTCTTCAGTTTTTTCAGCCTGAGAAATGTTGAGCCCGTTCTTCCCTTGTCATTCTCTGACTCCAGGTCTTTGCACATTTCATTATAATGCTTTACTTTGTCTACTCGAGCTGCCCTTTGAAATCTTTGGTTCAGCTTTTTTACTTCATAATTTCTTTCATTCACTTCAGCTACTCTACCTTCAAGAGCAAGTTTCAGAGTCTATTCTGATATCCATTTTGGTCTTTTCTTTCTTTGCTGTCCTTTTAATGACCTCTTGCTTTCTTCATGTATGATGTCTTTGATGTCATTCTACAACTCGTCCGGTCTTTCGTTATTAGTGTTAAATGCATCGAATTTATTCTTGAGAAGGTCTCTAAATTCAGGTGGGATATACTCAAGGTCATATTTTGGCTGTTGTGTACTTGTTTTAATTTTCTTCAGCTTCAACTTGAACTTGCATACGAGCAATTGATGGTCTGTTCCGTAGTCGGCCCCTGGCCTTGTTCTGACTGATAATATTGAGCTTCTCTGTTGTCTCTTTCTACAGATGCAGTTGATTTGACTCTTGTGTATTCCATCCAGCGAGGTCCATGTATATAGTCGCTGTTTATGTTGTTGAAAAAATGTATTTGCAATGAATAATTCCAAATTTGTTTTGCAATTCTATCACTTGATCTCCAGCATCATTTTTATCACCAAGGCCATATTTTCCAACTACCAGTCCTTCTTCTTTGTTTCCAATCACCAATAATTATCAGTGCATCTCGATTGCATGTTTGATCAATTTCAGACTGTAGAAGTTGGTAAAAATCTTCAATTTTTCCATCTTTGACATTAGTGGTTGGTGTGTAATTTGCATAACAGTTGTATTAACTGGTCTTCTTTGTAGGTGTGTGGATATTATCCTACCACTGACAGCATTGTACTTCAGGATAGATCTTGAAATGTTCTTTTTGATGATGAATGTGATGCCCTTCGTCTTCAATTTGTCATACCTGGCATAGTAGATCATATGATTGTCTGATTCAAAATGGCCAATACCAGTCCATTTCAACTCACCAGTGTCTAGGATATTGATCTTTATGCTTTCCATTTCATTTTTGATGACATCCAATTTTCCTAGATTCATGGTATATTCCACGCTCTGATTATTGATGGATGTTTGCAGCTGTTCCTTTTCATTTTGAGTTGTTCCACATCAGCAAATGAAGGTCCTGAAAGCTTTACTTTATCCATGTCACTTTATCCATGGTCAACTCTATTTTGAGGAGGCAGCTCTTCCCCAGTCGTATTTTGAGTACCTTCAACCTGAGGGACTTGTCTTCAGGCACTATATCAGACAATGTTCCATTATTATTCATAGTTTTCACTGCCCAATTTTTTCAGAAGTAGATTTTCTGTTCCTTCTTCCTAGTCTAACTTAGTTTGGAAGCTCGGCTGAAACCTGTCCACCAAGGGTGACCCTGCTGGTATTTGAAATACTGGTAAGCATAGCTTCCGGCATCACAGCAACACCCAAGCCACCACAGTAGGACAAATTTCTTCCCAATTTGTTCTTATTGTTTCTTTTTTTTGAACATTTTATTGTGCTTCAGGTGAAAATTTACATAGTTAATTAGTTTTCCAATCAATAATCCATACACAAATTGTTTCGTGATATTGACTGCAATCCCTGCAATGTGTCAGCATTCTCCCCATTTCCTTCCGGGGTTCCCTGTTTTCAGTCATCTGGTTTTCCTGTCCCTCCCTGCCTTCTCAGCCTTGGTTTTGGGTAAATGTTGCCCTTTTGGTCTCGTAGAGCTGATTGTTCTAAGGAGCACATTCTTCCCAGGTATTATGGTTTATTTTAAGCCCCGTGTATTACTTGGCTGAAAGGTGGCTCTGGGAGTGTCATTTTCAAGTTAGAAGGTTGTCTTAGGGCAATTGTCTAGGGGGTTCTTCCAGTCTCTTTTAGACCGTTAAGTCTGGTCTTTTTTTTCTTTTTTTTTGAGTTTGAATTTTGTTCTACATTTTTTTTACCCATTCTACTATTGTGATCCCGGTCAGAGTGGTCAGCAGTGGCAGCTGGGCACCATCTAGTTCTTCTGGTCTCAGGTTGGGAAAGGCTGTGGTTCATGTGGGCTATTATTCCTTTGGACTAATTGCTTTCTTGAGTCTTCAGTTTTCTTCATTCCCCTTTCCTCCAGGTGGGAAGAGGCCGGTAGTCACTTTTTAGTCTTATTGGTTTTTAACAGCTCTCTGGTAGGCAGATTTTTGGCTTCCACAACCTGGTGTCTTGTATGTGGTTATGTTAGGTTACATGAAAAAAGAATTAATGTTAAAATAGGAAAATTACCCTGGATTATCTGAGTGGGCCCAATGTAATCATACAAGCCCTTAAAAGCAGAAAGATGTTGCTTTCTGAAGGCGAAGTCAGAGAGATTGGAAGCACGAGAAGGATTCAGTGCACCATTGCATGTTTGACGATTGAGGGGCCCACAAGCTAAGGAATGTGGGTGGCCTCTGGACACTAAGAACAACCCCTGGCTGACAGCCAGCAAGGAAACGGAGACCTCAGTTGTACAGCCACTAGAACCTAATTCTGCCAACAGCCTGAGTGAGCCTAAAGTGAATTCTCCCTTACAGCCTACAGATAGGAGCCCAGGCTGGCCGCCATCTTGATTTTTGGCCTCATGAGGCCATGAGAAGAGAACCAGCTGCTGGACACAGCACTGTGAGATAATAAATGGGAGTTATTTTAAGGTGCTAAGTTTATGGTAATTTGTTACTGCAGTCGTAGACTAGTATAAGTTCTTTATTAATGTTGAAAGTATATTGTAAATATTTTTTCAAGTGTGCATTTGCATTTTAAAACTCTACCATCAGTTATATTTACTCTTCCCGATTTCATTATCAAAGGGTGAACTCAAGTTCCATTATGGGGAGGCGGCCCTTCGCTGTCACCCCACGTACCTGATGCTGTTGTTAGTTGCCATCAAATCAATTCCAACTCATGGTGACCCCACGTGTGCAGGGTAGAACTGCACTCCAGAGGGTTTTCAAGGCTGTGACCTTTCCGAAGCAGACTGCCAGGTCTTACTTCCGAGACACCTCTGAGTGTGTTTGAACTGCTAACCTTTCGTTAGTAGTCCAGCATGTCACAATTTGCGCCACCCAATACTCTAGTCCAAAGGTTCTCAGACTCTAGAGAGCCGTACAATCTCCCTGAGGGCTTGTTAAAGCACACATTGCTGAGCCCCACACCCTGAGTTTCTGACTCAGCAGATGTGGGAGAAAGTTGCATTTCTAGCAAGTTCTTTCTAAAGCAACCCTCCCAGTCCTAGGCGCGTCCTTAAGGTCCTAACCGGGTGCCCCTGCCAGTAGAAACAAGCAGAGCTCCACCCAGAGGGGCGGAGCTCTAGGAAGCCCCACCCACGTCACTAGACCCTGCCTCTCATTGGCTGACAGAGAAGGGGCACCCCCTACATCACAGAGCTGTATGCTCCACCCACCCGAACTCCAGTGGCGGGAGGGGGCGTCGCGTCTGCGCAGTGGAGTTCGGCGTGCTGCGCTGAGCCAGCGGGACGCGGCGACGGGATGGCGGAGCCCCAGGACGAGTCGGAGCCCCTCCTGGGCCGGACTCGAGGCGGCAGCGGTCGCGGCCGCGACTGCCCGGCTGCGGCAGTGGCGGCGGCCGCGGTGGCCACCTGCCGTAGCGCCCAGGTCAGAGGTGAGCAGCCCGGGCCGGGGACGAGGGCGACCCGGGGTGAGGGTCGCGGGCAGGCTCCGCGATCCCCTCACCCCAGGTGGCTACTGGGACCCCGCCGGGCCGGAGTCCGAGCGGCACGGTCGCTCGGGGTCAGGGGGCCTTCCCTGGGGTCCGGGGACCGACTCAGGCTGGGGCAGAGTTGGGGCGCGGGGTTCCGCACCCCGAACCGGGAAGGGGGCCTCGGCAACCCGGGGACCAGCCCCTCCAGCGCCGGGGGCAGCCTGGGCCACGTGGTCTCCCCGGGGTATCTGGTGTCCCATTTCCTTGGGGAGGAAACCGGGGCGCAGAGAGGGGAGGTAGCCTCCCCAAGGTCGCACAGCTAGTAAGTGGCTGGGGCGGCTTTCGAACCCAGCCGGGAGGGACTGGAGGGTCCTTTCTGCCTCATGGTTCCTGGTCCTAGGAGACTCCCGGGACCTTGGGACAGGCTGCCAGCAGCAGCTTCCTCCCTCTGCCTTTTGCAGCTTCCCGCCGGTACTCTGGCTCCTGCCGGCCCTTCCTGTTTACAGAGAGTTTGTCCAGTCCCCGGCAGGGTGGAGGCCATGGATCTCAGGTGGAGGCCAGGGTGGGGCCTCAGATACAGATGAGGAGACAGGTCCACAGGGACCCCCAGACATGCCCAAGGTCACAGCCCTGGGTTCTGCTGCAGCCTCTGTGCGGACCAGCTCCGCATTCGTGCCTGGCCACTTCTCTCTGGGCCTCACTTTCCTCATCTGTCCAGGAGGGGACTGGGTTGGAGCAGGGGTCCCCATAACCAGTCTGCAGGCGTGTGCCCATCCATGGAATAATGGGGTGGGAATCCCCAAAACTAGAGGCTGGGGTGGCCACCCTGCCTGCCTATCTCAGAGGCTTCCCTGGGAACGTTCTCTGGTCACTTCCTGGGACTGGACACGCAGTCCAGCCTGTGCCAGGCCTTGCGGTGGGCAGGGTCAGGGATGTAGAGTGTGGTGACATTCAGGGCACAGACTGTCTGGAGTTCTGGTGCCTTCCTGGGCTGCCCCTCCCTGCCTGGGTGACCTTGGCAGGTGGCTTCACCTTTCTGAGTCTTGGTAAAGGTGGGTAGTGTTAGGGCTGCCCGGGGTCCCTGAGTGGTGCAGTTTGCACTTGACTGCTGACCGAAAGACTGGAGGTTCGAACTCACCCAGCAGCACTGTGGAAGAAAGGCCTGGCCATCTACTCCTGTAAAGATCACAGCCAAGAAAACCCTATGGAGCAATTCTGCTCTGTTTAACACATGGGGTGACCTTGAGTCAGAACTGACTTGACTAGCAGTGGGTTTAGTTTTTTTGTTCGTAGGCCTGCCCAGAGGGGCATTGTGAGGATCCAGAGATGGTCCGGGGAGTACCCTAGCCCAGGGTGGGAGAGCTGGGTGTGTTGGCCCCAGTGGCTGGCTGTTGTAGGTCCCAGCCCTGGCTGAGGGGGTGGGCGGGCCGGGCAAATGAGACCCACATTGTTGTTAGGGTGGGAGCCAGCAAGAGAGCTGGGGAGAGCTCTCTGTCTACTGTGTGGCCCCTGGCAAAGGCGGGACAGGACGCCCTGTGTTCCGATCTTGGGCTGCCTGGCTGGCATGGCTGGGCAGACAAGGGGGGCAGTGGGCGCTGAGAAGGGCTTATTCAGCCCCCGCCCCGGGGCCCGGCTGGGCTCTGCGGTGGAGGCCTGCGCTCAGGATCGGCATCCCCACAATCGGGGTCTCCTGCCAACCGTGGACTCTGTGGTGGGTTTCTTCTGATTCTGCCACGCCTGGAGGGTCCACAGTCATTTCTTGTGCCTGGGTCAGAATATTATTACCCTTTTGCTGGTTATGAAAAAATCAGAGGAAAGGGAACTGCCTTGCTGTAGAAGGAATTTTCAGAATAATAATAATGCTGTTAATAGTTGCCGTCAACTCCGACTCATGGCGACCCGTGTGTGCGGAGTAGAACTGCTCCATAGGGTTTTCGAGGCTGTGACCTTTTGGAAACAGATTGCCAGGCCTGTCTTCTGAGGTGCCTTTGGGTGGGTTTGAACCGCCCCCCTTTTGGCTAGTAGTCGAGTGCTTAACTGTTTGCGCCACCCAAAGACACCTAATAATAACATGAGCTAATGTTTACGGAGGGTTTGCGGTGCAAGGCACTGTTGCTTCAGTAACCCATTCAATCCTTACCCCAGTCCCATGGGGTAGGGCCAGTGGGGACACGGAGGCACAGAGAGACGAAGGAGTTTGCCCAGGGACACAGGGGGAGCTGGTCGGGGCCCCCACATGGGTGTGCAGGAAGGGCTTCGGGGGTTTAGATCCAGATGTTTAGAGGCAGAGGCTTAGGGCAGGGAAACCCTCGGGGGGCCGATGGGAGACACAGCCTTTGGGCCCCGTGTATGCCACTCTCTGCGGCCGACATTTGTCATGGTCTGCTGGGGCTACCCATTGCCCTCGAATCGGTTCCAGCTCATAGCGACCCTGTAGGACAGAGCAGAACTGCCTCATTGGGTTTCCAAGGCTGTCATCTTTATGGAAGCAGGCTGACATATCTTTCTCCCGCAGAGCTGCTGGTGGATTTAAAACTCTGACTTTTTGGTTAGCAGCTGAGTGCTTATCCACTGCACCACCGGGACTCCATTTCTCCTGGGGCTGCCCAAACCAAATACCACCGAGTGGGTGGTTTTAAAGGACAGAAGTTTATTGTCTCCGTTCTGGAGGCCAGAAGTCCCAACCAGGTGTCTGCAGGGCCATGCCTTCTCTGAAGTCTCCAGGGCAAGGTCCTTCCTTGTCTCCCCCAGCTTCTGGTGGCCCTGGACACCTCTTGGCACTCCTTAGCTTATGGAGGATCCTCACTTGGTGTCTGTCCCTGTGTGTGACTCTGTCTTTGTGTCTGTTCTGCCCTTTATAAGGCAGCACTCAGAAGGGATCACGACCCACCCTGCTCCACGTGACCTTGTTAACTGCAGAGAAAAACCCTCTTTGCAAACAAGGCTACATTCACAGGAGGGAGGGGTTGGGATATCATATCTTTGGGGGGACCCAATCAATCCATAACAACGTTTGCCCAGATATCCCGACCTGGTTTGCCTGGCAGAGTCCCCCCAGCCTGGTGGATGTTGGGTACAGACAGGTGACTTCCACCCAGGGTGACGAGCTCCGGGCACGGTGTGCTTCCCCGAGGCTGTGCCGGGTTGGGGAGTGTCTGGGAAGGTGGTGTCCCCAGATTGACAGGCTGAGAGACGGCGTTCCCGGCAAAGCCAACAGCATGGGCTAGGGCTGAAGGCCTTGGAGAGCATGGCCTCGGGGGAGCCAGGCTCAGGAGGACTGGGGTGGGGGCTTGGGTGTGCGCAGCAGTGGGCCACTAGCAGAGGTGGGCCCAGGGGCCCGGCTGGGGGCCGCGGAAGGCTGTGACATGCTCGTGGGGGTTGTGACACGATCTCGCTGGCTGCTGCAGTGGGAAGGGGCCCTCTGTGGGGTAGGGGCTGTAGGGCGGGGCGGCCAAGCCTTCTGGAGTTGGATGTCTGAGGGCTGGTGGACTCAGGTGGCCGGAACCAGAATTGTACAAACAACGAGAAGAGCCAGGTAAGGGAACCGTGAGGTGGATGGTTCTGGGGTGCCCGACACTGTGGGCCATCGACGGCTGGCCTGGCTGGGAGCCCCTTCCCCGCGCCTGGTCCCGGGCTGGGGGCGGCCTGTGGCCTCTCGGGGCCTCAGTCTCTTCACGTCTTCATGTCAGATGCCACTGAGTCGGTTCTGACTCACGGCGACCCCGTGTGACGGTATTACTAGAACTGGCCCAGAGGGTTTCCTGGGCAGTAAACTTTACGGCAGCAGGTCATTAGGTCTTTCTCCCGTGCAGCTGCTGGTGGGTTTTGAACCACCCACCTTTTGGTTAGCAGCTGAGTACTTAACCATTGCGCCACCAGGCTCCTCTCTTCCCGTCTAGGAAGCTTGTATTGTTAGAACTCCCCAGGCAGAGTTGGTTTCGTCCTGGGACTTTGGCACTGTGGCTCCTCTTGGGGACCCCCAGCCCTCCCCCTGAGCCTTCCCCCGGGGCTCAGGTGGCTTGAGTTCTGCCAGGTGCCCAAGTGCCTTGCTGTCCCGGCTCCACGGACACAGCAGTGGTGGTGGCCACTGATCCCGGCTCTCCCGGGACACCCACAGGGACACCTCAGTCACCACCCTGGGAGGGCTTTTAGGGGTCTTCAGAGCAGCCTCATGGCTGTACATGTGGGGAGACCGAGGCCCAGTCAGAGAAGGCGCTGGCTCCAGGTGCTCTGAGAGACGACCACAGAGCCAGGACCAGGTCCAGTCTCCGGCCTCTGTCCCGCCCCCACGTTCCTGATCGGTCTCTGGGCCCCTGTGGCCTCTGCCCCAGATCCCCAAGTGTGAGCCCCAGGATAGAAGCAGCCGCCTCCCTTGGGTGGCAGGCAGAATGGGCAGTGGCCGAGAGCTCCACCAAGGTGCCCGCCACTGTCACCTTCCCTCCTGCCTCTCGGAAGAGCCACGCGGCCCCGTGTTTTCTTGGGAGCCAGCTACGTCAGCTTCAGTGGCTGCGGGCCCCAGTAGACTCCTGAGTGAAGGGCCTGCAGGTTCTCCACCTTATTCCCAGGCACTGAGCTCCGGACAGAGGGTCACGTGCCAGCCCCACTCTCCTGGGCCGCCTGGGCTCCCTCTCTGCTGGACCTCAGCAGTGTGGACTTCAGCCTTTGGAGTCCTCTGGTGAAACGGCTGTGTCCCATTTGCTGATCAAATGGCTCCTTCTACAGCGAAGGCCCAGACTCACATCCGGGGTGGTGGGCAAGGCCCAAGCCCTGGACAACACGTTGCTGTTCTCCCTGTGGGCACGAGGGGCTTGCGTGCAGGCGGGCGCTGGATGGTGGCTTTCTGAGCTGTCTGGTTTCTCCTGAAGGCCCCTCATAATTGGGAGCCCCCACCACCCTCGCCCCGGCCCCCCAGGAGGCTCTGAGTTGTACACTGGGCAGGGGATGGTGGTGCGGAGCTGCCTTTCTTCTGGGCCTGACGTGCTCCGACCTGGCAGTGCTGAGTGGTGTTCTGGCCATGCAGACGCGCTGCAGGGCAGAAGGCATCCTTACAAATGGGACCTCGGAAGGAGACCGAAGCCAGTTCTCAGCAATGTGTCCTCTCTGTCTGCAGGCACCAAGGCCGGTCAGGAGCTCTGCATCGACCAGGCCGTGGTCTTCATTGAGGATGCAATCAAGGTGGGCGGCGCCTCCTCCCTGGGCTCTGCGGTCACTGGGTGATGACTGAGAAGCCCCTGGAGGCCCCTTCACCCCCTGCTGTCCAGTGGTCAGGCCTCTGTTTCTGGCCCATGCGGTCGAGATAACGGGGTGACAGGGCCTCTGGGCCGGGGTCTCCTGAGTCCTCGCTGAGGGTGACGGCTTGGTGCTTCTCTTCTGGGTCCTGGAATCACTCGGCCCAGTGAATTGCCATGTACTGAGGGCCTGTTGGAAACCCTGGTGGCATAGTGGTTAAGAGCTCGGCTGCTAACCAAAAGGTCGGCAGTTTGAATCTACCAGGCACTCCTTGGCAACTCTATGGGGCAGATCTACTGTGTCCTATAGGGTCGCTATGAGTCGGAATCGACTTGACGGCAATGGGCAACGGGGCAGTGAGGGCCGGTCACGTGCTGGGTCCCGTACTGCTCCTGGGAAAGATGGCAAAGGTGACAAGACAGTTCCCTCCTGCAAACGCCATGCAGGCTCATTTAGGGAAATGGTGTGAACGCATGCAGTGCCCCCGAGCGTAGGGTTAGGCTGGAGGACGATGCGGCTGAAGTGGGGGGTGAGGGGCCGGCCTTGTACAGAGAAGAAACAGGACAGACAGAGGCACAGCCGCCCTCCCAGCAAACGTCCAGGGCAGCACACGGGCCTGCCCTGGGGTCGGAGGTAAGTGGGTGGGCACGGCCCTCAGCCCGGCGAGCAAACGTGGCAGCTTGTGGCTGTCTGACCCTGCTGTGGGGGCGGGGGGCGCCCTGGCCACGTGCCCAGGTGTCACACAGCCTGTCTCCCGACGGGTACCCGCCACGGGGTGAGAGTGGGTGTGCGTGTGGGCAGGTGTGAGGGCACACGTGTGTGCAGCACGGGGGGCGGGGCTCTTGCTCACACTCTTGTGTCACTTGCAGTACCGCTCCATCAACCACCGCATGGACGCCAGCGCGATGTGGTTTTACCGGTGGTATTACTCCACCTCGTGCCAGCGGTGAGGACACACGCGCAAAGCGCGGGGCCCTGCAGGCTTGGCAGGAGGGGGAGGGGAGAAGAAGGGGGTGGGGGTGGCCTCACCTGTGCTGGGGACAACACCTGGTCTCAAGTTCCAGCTCCCTTCCCCTTCCCCAAGGGTGGAAGAGGAGGCTGTACCTTCCCCCACTACCCCCTCCTCACTAGACAGGCAGAAGGGCTTCTCTGGGGGTGAGAGGTTCTTTCTAGAATGTTCTGTGAGCCAAAGGCAACGTGACATAAAATTCATTTTTTTAAAGTAACGTTTAATACGTTCACAATCTGTACGACCACCACCTCTTTCTAGTTCCAAAACGTACTCATCACCCCAGACGCGTACCCATGAGCAGTCACCCCCCGGCCCCCGGGTCCCAGCCCCTGGCAACCGCTCATCTGCTTTCTGTCTCTATGGGTTTGCCTGTTCTGGACATTTTGTGTAATGGAATCATGCAACCCGTGGCCTTTGGCGTCTGCCGTCTTCCACCGAGCGGGGTGTGTTCACGGCTCCTCCGTGTTGTGGCGTGGGTCAGAGCATTGTTCCTCTTGGTGGCTGGGCACTGTTCCCTTGTGTTAGGGCAGCTGAGTTTGATCAGATAGCGTCCTCCGACCAGGCACAGGTGGCCACACGCCAGGACATGCTCATGTGCCTCTGTGCCTGGGGTTCTGCCTGCTCACCAGCGTTTCAGCCCCACGGGGTGGCTGGTCCTGGCCTTTAGCCAGCTCTGTCCCTTTTGCAGGATTTTGAGCTTCATCATTTTCTTGATCCTGTCTTTGGCTTTTGTCGAGACCCCTTCCTCGCTCACGAGCTCCTCGGACGTCCGGTTCCGCCGTGTCGCCTGGGAGCCGCCCTGTGGCCTGACCGAGAGCGTGGAGCTGCTCTGCCTGCTGGTCTTCGTGGCCGACGTCTTCGTGAAGGTGAGCGGGGTGGAGAGGCTGGCGCCCGCAGCCGCCCTCCCCTGCCCGCATGGGCCACCCTCCCCTGCCCGGCGACCTTGCTTCTTGTCTTCTTGGTTTTCATGTCCCTGGACCTAGCTGCCTTTTTTCCTGATTTTGCCCCTTGGCCTGCTGAGCAAAGGACAGTGTTTCTTGGGGGAGTTCTGGGCCTCGGGGCAGAGGCCTCTGCCAGTCCTCCTCTGGATTGTGCCATGGGGGCGGGGCACCCTGTGGGGCTTCAGCATGGTTGAGACCCCCCAGCTGAGGCAGAGCGGGTGGGCAGGGTGGTGTCTCCCACCCTGATAGAATAGGAAGGCCAAGGTGGGGGCAGGAAGGGCCTCTGGCCCACACAGCGGCTACTGCGTGTCCGACTCTCTGTCCCCGTGACTGATCCTTCTGGAAGTTGGAGGTGGGCTCGGCCTGCCCTTGTAAGCATCTGGGGCGTGTCGGCTGGCTGAGCCCAGTGACTTCCCGTGAGGCCCAGAGGTGCTGGCCTTGCTGCGGCCACATGATCTGTTGTTTTCGTCAAACAACAGATTCCAGCGCTGCCGTGCGTGGACTTGCCCGTTCACGCCTCAGTTGTTCACTGGCTGTCTCTCCCTGCAGCGTCAGCCCCGAGCCGTGGGCAGGTTCATGTGACTGTCCTGTCACCGGCCTCTGCCTGGCGGGGCCTCTGGGAGGGTGGGCTCAGCCTCTGCACAGCCGGGAGTGGAGGGCGGCCTCTGGACGAGTCTGTGGTCGAGGCCACCGGGAGTGCCTCATTTCTTTTTTTTTGGCCCATAATGTGGTTAGGAGGTCATGGATTTTACACCGGAACTGAAACTGGTGAAAAGCTCTCATTCGCAGTGTGTGAATGCTGGTCTGCTTGGGGGCGGTCTCAGGAGGCCAGGAGACACACGTGCGCACAGCGTCCTCTGCAGGTGGGAGCGGGAGAGGCAGGAGGTGGGAGAGGAGACCACAGCCCCGCCTCCAGCCACACCTGGCTGTTTTGTGCTTGGGCCTCCTGCTCCTTTTGTTAGCTGAGGGGCGTGAGGAGGACCCCCTGTACCAGGAGGAAACAGGCCAGAAGAGCAATGCCGTGCATGAGGCTGCTGCACGTGTCATGGTGTCCAGGCGGCACTAGCCCCTGGCAGGGCACCCTTCCTGACCTCCGCACGGCCTCCTGCTCCCCGCCTGTGCCGCGAGGGCTCCGACCAGGCTCCCTCTGCTTTCCGCCGTCCTGAGCCTGCCTCGTGGGACTCCTGCCTGTGGCCACCGGCTGACCCACTTGTCTCTCCTACAGGGCTACCTGGTCGGGTGGTCCCAGTACCGGAGCAGCCCCTGGCTGCTGGCCTACCTCGTGGTGCTGGTGGTGTCACTGATAGACTGGATCGTGTCCCTGAGCGTCATTTGCTGGGAGGTAGGTGATGCAGCAGCGCCTAGATGGGTGGGGGGCTCTGCAGAGTGTGGGTGCCAGGTGCAGCTGCCCCGGGAACAGGGAGATGGGGTCCTGAGGCTCTGTGGTCACCTGGCCGTCTGCCCAGCACTGTCCTCTTCCCGTAGCACCCACTCACCCCGTCAGCCAGGGAGCCTTGCTCCCATCTTGCAGATGAGCACATGGAGGCCAGGGGGACACACGAGGTTTCCCTAGGTCATCCTGTGAGTGAGTGGAGGACCTGGGGGCAAACCCCAGGACTCAGTTCCCGGCTCACCACTTTGCGGCTGGCTGGGTGCCCCATGAAGGTGCCACCTGGCCATCACTGTGCCCCAGGTGAGCAGGGGCAAGGCTCCGCATTGCCCGGGAGTTCCCCCACCTTTATATATATATAAAACCAAAAACCAAACCCGTTGTCGTCGAGTCGATTCTGACTCATAGCGACCCTATAGGACAGAGTAGAACTGCCCATAGGGTTTCCAAGGAGCAGCTGGTGGATTCGAACTGCCACCCTTTTGGTGAGCAGCCACAGCACTTAACCACTGTGCCACCAGGGTTTCCTATATGAGAAAAAGAGGAAGCCCCTCAGTGAGATGGACTGACACAGTGGCTGCAACAATGGGCTCAAACCCAGCAACAGTTGGGAGGATGGGGCGGGACCGGGCTGTGTTTTCTTCTTTTGTACGTGGGGTCACTATGAGTGGGAACCAACTTGACGGTACCTGACAGCAACATCATAAAAAAAACCAACCTCATTGCTGTCGAGTCGATTCCAGCTCACAGCAACCCTATAGGACAGGTGCGGAGGATAAGCGCCGGGGTCTTGGGACAGTCCGCCCCTACAGTGGCAGGTGTGGGGGACAAGCGCCGGGGTCTCAGGACAGTCTGCCTCTATGCTGTCAGCTGTGGGGGACAAGCAGCGGGGTCTCGGGACAGTCTGCCTCTACAGTGGCAGGCGCGGGCATGACAGTTGAGTCCCCACATGGCCTCCTTTCACAGACCATGCGGATCCGCCGGCTCCTGCGCCCCTTCTTCCTGCTGCAGAACTCGTCTATGATGAAGAAGACGCTCAAGTGCATCCGCTCAACGCTGCCGGAGATGGCCAGGTGAGGTGGGTGCCCTGGGCCTGTCGGGATGGCCGAGGGCCCCGTGCCGTGCTCTGTGGCTGGGGACAGGTTTTGGGGGTACAGGGCCCAGCAGGGCTCCTGGTGGGCAGCTGTGCCCCGGACTTGGGGTGTGTCAGGGCAGCCTGTGGGTGTCCTGCCAACACTGGACCCCTCTGGGTAGGGCTGGCAGGGGACAGCGTGGGGGTCCAAGTGGGCGGGGCACGGCCGGGCAGGCAGAATTTTAGGGTCTCTGCTGGGCAGTCAGGGCCTGTGGTTCCAGCAGTCCCCCGAGAGGCCTAGCCCCCTCGCTGCTGACCTGGCTGTCCCCCATCCTCCTTCGTGTCCCTCATGGTCATCGCTGAGTCCTGTTAATGCTTCTTCCCCTCGGCTTATCCCCTTCTGCCCCTGCTGTGACCACTGCCCCCCAACTCTGTCATCTCCACCACCCGCTGCCATGCGGCGTTCACCCCCCTTGGAGGCCCTCATGGCTCCTGTCACCACCAGAGTACCCGGCCCACCCAGCCTACCTCTCTCCAGGCCCCTGGAACCCTCTGCTCTCGCTCCTGCCGGGGGCCTCTCCCCTGGAGGCTCGGGCTGCACCCTCTCCCTGTCTTGGCTTCTCCCCTCAGTCCCTGGGGTCGCAGTTTCATCTCCACCAAGCAGAGACCCCTCCCCGGGGCAGGGCCAGGCCCCCTTCCTGGGGCCCCTCGGGGCTGAGTGGGTACAGGCCCTGGGGAGGGGGAGCTGTGTGGGTACGTTGTCGCTGACCCGGCTGAGGTCGGCTGTCCCCGGCCCCCATCACGCTGACGTGGGGGCCGCGTCTGGCCGGTGCTGACGGCTGCCCTTGCCCCAGCGTGGCGCTGCTGCTGGCGTTACACCTGTGCCTCTTCACCATGTTCGGGATGCTGTTGTTCACCGGCGAGAAGGTGAGGGTCCCGCCTGCTCCGCGGTGGCCCGGTGCGCCGTCTCCCTGCTGTCCTGTCTGTGCCCGAGTTAGGGCCTGTCTGGCTGTCCCGCAGAGCCTGCTGGGAACAGTGGGTGGTGGTGGTGGTTGACCCACGGTGGGGGGTACGGCTTGTTGAGTTCCGGGTATAGGGCTGGGCCGTGGAAGCCTCGGCTGGTGGGTGGCGGCCCAGACAGCCCCCCTGAGCTGCCCGCATTGGCTCCCGGCAGGACGACGGGCTGAGCAAGGAGCGGCTGACCTACTTCCGCAACCTGCCTGAGGCCCTGACCTCCCTCCTGGTGCTGCTGACCACGGCTAACAACCCTGATGGTGCGTGGGGCCGGAGGGAGACGGGGGCCCTGGGGGGGTGAGGGGACCCTGAGTGGGGGTGAGCGGGACCCAGGGGGGGTGAGCGGGACCCTGGGGGGGCGAGGGGGACCCTGAGGTGGGGTGAGGGGTGGAGCCCATGGGGGTGAGGGGGTACTGGGGGGTAAGCAGGACACTGAGGTGGGTTAAGGGGGTACTGGGGCATGAGTGGGACACTGAGGGGGCAAGTGGGACCCTGGGGGGGTGAGTGGGATCCTGAGGGGGGTAAGCGGGACCTGGGGGGGGCAAGTGGGACCCTGAGGTGGGGTGAGGGGTGGAGCCCGTGGGGGTAAGGGCTTACTAGGGGGTTAGCAGGACACTGACGGGGGTTGAGGGGGTACTGAGGAGTGAGTGGGACACTGAGGGGGTGAGTGAGACCCTGAGGGGGTGAGTGGGACTGTGAGGGGGGGTGAGGGGTAGGGCCCATGGGGGTGAGGGGGGTCCTCGGGATTGAGTGGAACACTGAGGGAGGGTGAGGGGCAGGGCTCATAGGGGTGAGGGGGTTACTGGGAGGGTAACTCAGGGCCCTGAACTGAGAAGGGCCACCGGCTTGTCTGGGAGGGGTCTCAGGTGGCAACTTCAGCACAGTATAGGGATGAGTGTCCTAGAAAGGCAGTGAGTTTCCCATTTCTGAGCATGTGAGCAGAGGCGTGAAGATCAGCCTCCCGCTCTGGGGAGGGGCAGAGGGGGTCGGGCTGTGGTGGGACTCAGCCACATCGGGGGCTTTCAGCGTCTCTGGTCTCCTCTCTCAGTGATGATGCCTGCCTACTCCAAGAAGCGCGCCTACTGCGTCTTCTTCATCCTCTTCACTGTGATCGGTGAGGCTGATGCTTGGCCAGGGCCTGCCCTGGGACAGCCCCCCCGACCCCCATAACTCCACCTCAGTGACCCCGGTGGGCCTGCCCTGGGACGGCCCCCCCCAACCCCATAACTCCACCTCGGTGACCCCGGTGGGCCTGCCCTGGGACCTGCAGAGCTGTCACACTGATGTCCTGGCCGCCATGGTTGGGTGGTGCAGCTGGCACACCCCAACCCCGTGCTGTAGACGAGGACATGGGGCTGGGGATCAGGGACATGCTCGCAGCCCCACATCCGGAGGGGCAAGTCTTCCCCCACCCGTGCTTGTGGCATCTGCTGGGGCTGTCATGGGTGTGCTGTGCTCTCCAACCCTGAGCCTCATCCTGCCCTTGGCCCTGGCCCTTGGGGGACGCTTACCGGCCCTTGGGGGATGCTGACTGGCCCTTCGGGGACGCTGACCGGCTTCTCCTCTTGAAGGTAGCTTGTTCCTGATGAATCTGCTGACGGCCATCATCTACAATCAGTTCAGGGGCTACCTGATGGTGAGAGCCACAGCCGTCTGGGCAGTGTCACCAGGCAGGGTGTGACCTGCGACTGAGCTGACCGCTGGGCTGTCTGGGCAGGAGGGGGCACCAGGCGGGGTGTGACCTGTGACTGAGCTGACCGCTGGCTGGGCTGTCTGGGCAGGAGGGGGCACCAGGCGGGGTGTGACCTGTGGCTGAGCTGACCGCTGGGCTGTCTGGGCAGGAGGGGGCACCAGGCAGGGTGTGACCTGTG